TGAGGACATGTATAGAAATGCTTATTTTGAATTGGGTTACTGTGGGGGAAACTTCTGAAGCAATTGGAAACAGGACTCAGAGAGGCACGAGGAGAGCTGGAGCTTTGATGGCAAACACTGATGGTTTATTTGGAGTTACGGCCGGAGAATTGACAAAACAGGTGGTGTGTCACGAGTTGACACAGCGGTTGCCAAACCAATTCTGAAGAACTCTTTCTGTAGCTCGAGGTTTTAACTAGTTCGGAGTGTAATAATCAACATTCTTCATCAGTGAGACTAAACAATTATGGACCCTGAATCTAACTAGAGCTCTCGTCCATAGAAAAGAATGTGCGCCAGGGAACCTACGTCCCTGAACATTAAACTACCTCATGGCGGCTTGTGCTCTGCCATAGACTGGCAACAACAATGCGCCCAAGCTGCTCCCTAGGCCAGGGGTCGGCAACAGGCGGACCGCGGTCCGGATCCGGACCCAGACCCCGACCTATACGGACCCGGACCTATAATCAATACATTAATAGGGGATTTCAATTTTGACGGGGCGATTCTATTTTAACCGCTGCCGACAGGGGGCGAAAGAGACGAGTGAGCGATACAGGGAGAGAAACACAGAAGAAGAGACGAGAGAGCGGCAGAGAGAAGTGGAGAGGAAAGTGAGTGAAGAGAATAATTAGCGATACAGGGAGAGAAGCGGAGAGGAGAGTGAACAGGTGTGTTAGCGGCAGACAGGGAGAGACAAATAATGACAGATGGCGCTCTCCAAGAAGAGGAAAGTGGACAGTGAGAACAGAGTGGACGGACTCATTCATGTTCATCCTGCCCACTGGGAGCACAGAACCAGTGTGTCTCATTTGTTCAGAGACCGCGGCGCTCATTAAAAGTGCCAAAACGCCACTATGAGACAAAACACAAAGTGTTTGACCAAACATTCCCTCTCAAGTCAGAACTGAGGTCACAAAAAATAAATATCGTTCCAGCGCAGGCTAACCGAGGCTAACCAATGAGCACCTGCATGTGTGTATGAGAATGGCCCTGACACCATTTAAGCCCAGATTTAAACTCCTGGCAGGACAAACTCAAGCTCAATTCTCACACTGAATTAAAAAAAGTGAGTGAGGGACATATAAGAGGGAAAGAAAGAGAAACTTTAAAACTGTTCAATTGTTATGATGTGTAAAGACTGATATTGTTCTATAATCGTCTGAAACTGTCATGATGTGAAACGGTTAACAAAGCTATTTTATTTATTTTCTCTATTTTATTTTTAAATGCAGCCAGAGAGGAACATTACACATATCCACAGTATTTTACTGTACATAGTTCAATGTTAATTGACAATAAATATTGTTGTTTATGAATTGTACTTTCTTTATTTGATTGGCAGTCAGTTGTTGATTACATGCAGACGTTGATACAGCTGCAGGCTACTTCAATATATATCACACTAATTCATAAAGCAAGTTAGACATTTTGAAGTTCCGGACCTTTGCATGGGGAGATTTTCTCTAACTGGACCTCGTTGAATTTTAGTTGAATACCCCTGCCCTAGGCCGTAGACCTATGCCATGGGAAAGGAGACAGTGAGAGGAGAAAATGATGAACTGTGTCAAAGGTTGAATACCTAAGCAAATTATTCCCTAACAGTTACTACAGTATAATATTAATCACATTACAGGCTCCTACAAGATCTTTTTTGTTTTATTTTTATAAAAATTGTTTTCATGATGTTAGATGAGTAACCCTTTGATTTGAATAAAATAGCTATTTAATATTGGTGGATGAAGTTCCTATGTGTTTGGCCACGTTTAATTAGTACAAGTGAAAGACACCCTGGATAAAAAAGTTTCCGCAAAACAGCAAACAAAAGGTTTTAGCTTTCTTCTCCTGACGACTAAAAACCCATCTGTTTGGATTTCCAATAAAAAAAAAAAAAAATTCTCACTTATTTGAAGCAAATGCAGTAAGACTTATAATGTTTTTTTCTATTTGAGTTTGTATCTTCATTCACTTTTTGTAAGTCGCTTTGGATAAAAGCTAAAGAACTTTTGAACTTAAAATCTAGAATAAAAACAATGATATAAACACAAGAGAATGTAGGAGTTGTTGGAAACAGCTGGTCTCATTCTAACCCTGTTCTTGTCTTTTTGTCTCTATTCTTTCTTGTGTTCTTTCTTTATTTCTGCAGACTTTGAGGACCTGTTCGATGACGATGACCTGCAGTGATGACCGACACCTGTGTGTTTCTGTGAAAGTGTACATAAAGAAATCAACAAAATGGGCTTAGTCTGACCAAAAGATCTCTCTCATTTGTACAGAACCCTCTTCCCACATGTCACCCACCACCATACTGAAATAAAGACTTTGTTTTTACAAAAGAAAAGCTGTCTTGGTAAACCAGGTGTTTGTGAATTCTGAAGATCACTTACATTCCAGCTTTGGAGAAAATTATGAGTATGGTTTTGGCGTCGTCGTGTTTGAATCTGTTACCGGCTGGATTGTAGGTTTGTGGTCTGTGAGAAACACCTGTTAGCAAACCTAATTACATACGAGATACAGTGTTAACATGACCACTAAATGTTCAGTTAGGGCACGATGGGACAGGAGAGGGGCTGCGAGAAATGTGGGAATGCTTGAAAAACAAATACAGAGCAAACAAAAAAACATTCAGTTTTAAACTTTACATTTATCATGAACAGGGAAAATGGTAAAGCTGTGATTTGACTTCACTTATATGTGCCTTCAACTGTTGTGTGAACTTAAAGAGTGCAATCTACATTTTAATGTATTCACTTTTGACTTTCTCCGAGGCGTTGCAAGCCCAAATAAATCAGCTGCATGTGTAGGTTTAGAGGAAAATACTTAGAAAATATAACATTTAAGTATAATGTGTGTGCGCACGCTTCTGCATAACAATTGTAATATATTGCAAAAAGTACCAAAGAGACTGTTTTGTGCAGGTGATAACAGTTTAAAGATGTTACGGTCCATGGCCAAAGGTATGTTACACCCATTACAGTGTGACATATTTTTTAAAACATCTCACAATTGATGAGCCTGTTTGCTTCCATTCAGCCACAAGAGCATCTGTAAAGTTGACCCGGCTCGCAGTCATCATAGTTTATACCAAAAGTGCTGGAACAAGATGGTGATGTCACAAATATCCGTATACAAAACTTTTTTTTTTTTTTTAATCTAACCCACATTGTCCTGATAAAGCATGGAGTTCTTGAGTTTTAAACTTTAAAAAGGTCATCTTCAAACTTTAAAATCGTATTATTTCTTATTCAGTCATGAATAACAGGATTTGATACCAAGTTTTCAGGGGCTTTTAGGTTTTAAGCGCAAACCATTCAAAGCAGCCTCAATATAACAGTCCTCTGACTGCAATTTCACAATCTCGTGTGCAAACGTAAAATAGAAAAATAAAATAAGTCTAGCCTGTGTGTTTCAAGAGCAATTTTTCCCATGTAAGCCACTTTATCTGAGTTTAAATCACTTTTGGTGTGAAAAGGGATTAGGGTTAAGGGGTTAGGAAAACAAAATAGACATTTTTATTTCTCCTTAAACTTAATAAAAACCTCCTCAGAATCTGTCCTGGACGCAAACATCATAAAGCCACTGAGCGGTACAATGCAATTACAGGCTAATGCGGTCAGATGTGCTGATATTGCATCACACATCGCAGCCACAAGCCTTTTTCAGAGTCACACTAAAATCAGCCTTTGTGTATGTGTGAGTCTTACAAGGCTGGCATGCCTGAACACAGTTAAAGTGAGGAGGTAACTGTAGATTATCAAATTCCTCATGTGTAGACCAGCTGCCCCTGCATGTGTGTGTGTGTTCTGGTTTAGACAGAAGCTGTGGTTTGGCCCTCATTGAAGCTCTCTGAGAAGTGCTTATGTGGCACCTCAGCCACCCTTCCTAATTACCTGATGTTGACTTTCTTCTGTCCCTTTCTGACTTATTTTCTTGCTTGGTAGAGATGTAACATTAAACAAAGAATGATCCAGTGTCTGATTTCAAACCTTAACTGTGACATATCATTAATAATCAAGCGTTTTATATTGAAAAAACCCTAAATGAGACAACTTCTACAGAATCTCTCCACGTCTCCACCTCGGCTTCGAACCCTCCCACCTTTTCTCTTTTCCTGTCTTTAATTACAGAGCCTCCAATTGGCTGAAACTTTCGGAAAGATCTAACCAATCACGCATCTTGTTGAGGTGGCCCATGACCCCTTCAGGTGGTGCTTGCTTGCGTTTTTCCGTGAAATTTTGAAGGAACGGGCTTGGTTTAAAACCTTGCCACATCCTTACATGAGGGCAGTCAGTCAGAAGGGCCACAGAGACAGGGTAGACCAGGAACCTCTATCATACCCTCACAAACACACTCGGTGTTTGGACTGAGAGACCCTGTCTGTCGGCTCGAGTCCACATCTGGATCCGCGGACACAAGATATTCGAAACACAGGTAAGAGACAGGTACACTTCTTTTTACTTATAGGTACTTATTAGGGATCCAAATTCAGGTTGAAGTCAAGTTTGTCTCCTGAACAACACCTGGTTTTCTTTACGATGGTAAAATCAATAGCTTAACTGTTTGTTTAAAACCTACAAATCAAAGTTCAGTTCACCAGCTCTCCAGGTGAATACGTGCCTGGTCTGAGGTCTCAGGTATTGATTTGAGAGGAGATGAAACAGCATTGATTGTTAAGGTTTCATGGAGGTAAAGAGCATCTATTTGGGCTGAGAAGATTTGCACTTAAAAATGCTTCTGGATGGGGAATAAGAGAAAAAAGCTTGACTAAAGCATACAAATATTGTTCTACCACCCTAACCTTATCATCATGGCATTAATTAAAAGAACATGTACAGAGAAATGTGTAGAAATGCAACGTTGCTGTCATTATGCAACTATGCTCAACAAAGATTTGAAGGCATGATAGAGATGAAGTGGGGTGATTGTGAACATTGATGTGTTTGGCAGGAGGAGGTTGAGCCATGGCTGGAAGGAGGAGAAGCAGTTTCTCTGCTGTGTTCATCGCTACACTGCTGGCTGTGATTCTGCTGCCTGGTGAGTACTCAGCGGGGGTCTGACAGTCCAGCACCACACACCAGGGTCAGAGTGGAACATGTCTGTCAGTTCTAATTACCTATGGCTTTATGGTTAGCTAAAACGTTCTAATCCATGTCATCACCGGCAGTTGAAGACAAACTCAGATTCTTTACTCTGGTAAAAGGAGAAATAGCAAGCAGTAAATGTACTATATAACAAAGGAAAATGTTATGAAAGTAAGTAAGGCCCTTTGAGTTAAAGAGTTCAAGCTAATTTTAAGTATTTTGTAGATGCAGAATCATTTTCAGTTGATAGATTTACTAGTTTAATTGTAACAACATTTTTTAAAGGTGTTAATGTTTTGTATCCTAATCTGAAGGGGGCTACAACTGTTAAATGAATGTGGTGGAGTAAAAACAGAGTATTTTCTTAAACTTTTTCTTAAAGTATTCAGTCCACTTTTTGAGTACATATTTAAATTATTCAAGATTAACAATGACTATATTAAAATGCATAAAAACAGAAAGACTTTGCTAACATTTCAAAGTACGGTATGCATCCCTATGGCTGGGTTTAAATATTACAAGCCTATGATGCACTGATGACAAATACCAGCTATTGTCTCTTACCATTTAAATAGACACAGCACTAATTGGTCCTAATTTTCTACTTTTTTTTCTTAAAGACAACACAACCAAAATGTGATTAAATCCCAGAATAATAGGTATTTAATTGTAATGGCAATGAAAGATGAGCTTATGTATTAAAAGCTCCATTTAGTTTAATATATGCAACTACAAAGCAGTATTGTGAGTGAAAAATGACCTACTAAAGAGTGCAGTATTTCACATTATACTAAATGATCAAATGGTTAGTGATAATCAAGATTCTGATGCAAATATTCATACAGCAGTATCTCCTTTTCAAAGCTGCGCTGTACAGATTTGGAGTCCAAGAAACAGTTACACAAGTACACATGAAAATATTTTCTTAGTAAAGGAGTTTTGTGTTTGTTAAAAGTTGGAGCCGGTGTTTGAAGAAGTGTTTAGATCTTTTTCTAGGGAAGTTTTCATTTCCCTTCAGTGAAAGTTCAAATTATCAGCAGCAAAATGTGATTTTATAGATTTGTTATTACTGTGTATGCAGCATTATGTTGATAAATGTAAGCAAAACAACTGCATTGATGGGTTGGATGGTTAAATCTGTAAAAATGCATCATATGTTATAAGCAGATGTTTATTTTATGTAAAACTTTTTCTTAAGGGATCAAAAGCTGTATAAGCATTCTCACGTACTGAACCTGACTTCTGTGGTTCTTAATTACTTTTTGCATCACTGGTTTAAGCACAATGATTTGTTGTCATCATCCACAAAATATTTTGCTTAATATTCATGTTTTACCTCTTGTCTGTATGTTGTGTATTTGTTTGCTGCGTGACCTTGTTTCCGTTAAAACTCTTAATAAACCAATTTGCCAAAATATTTAAATTATAGGTTTCAAGGATGAGTTTGAACCGCATACAGTAGGGGTTGCCCTCATCGCCACGCAACTGTGCTTAAAGTGTATTTTGTGGCTCTCTAACATAGCCCGTGGTGCTCATATATAATTTAGAATGTTTCAACATGAAAACAGGTTGCTCCTGCACCACCTGTTTTAACTTTGCAATTCATCATTGGCATATTTACACAGGGCCGAGTATCAGCACCGCTTTGAAAAACGTTTTTTTTTTAGAACTGCAGTGTGATGGTTAAAAACAGAGTAGGAGGAGATGTTTCTTTCAACGTTCCTGGTCCTGTAAAAAGATTAGTACCTGTCAGCATCTCCTCCTCCTCTGCCCTCTTAAAGCTCGGCCGTTTCCAGATGTGCCAGCCACTTTTTTACAGGCTCGTAAAGAAATACAGCGGATACACTGAGACAGCATCATTTAGCCCACCCTCCTCCACATCCCTCCTTCACCTACGGGTCACCTTTACGTCTTTTCCTATTTTTAATGCCGTTATTCTTTGCAGATCCATACCTCTATTCGCTGCCCTTTGTGTTGTGCCACGCTACAGTGCATCTTTCTGATTACTACCATTAAAGCTTATCAAAACCTTTCTTTAAACAGGAGATTCATGTTTTTCCACCTCCAACATGCGTCACAATTATCCCCTCTGGAGCTTTCTTTTAAAACCTGTCATCTGTTCCTCTTTCTCCTTCCTTCTGTAAGGAATTAACACCTTTGCCCTGTGGAGATGAAAGAAACCTGGAGCAGAGCTGAATTAACGTTTCCCTCAGCTGCATGTGGTCGTACACATATATGTGCACACACTGGTCTTTAAAAGCACAGCGTGAGGTTTGATGTTACAGGCTCACCTATAAAATCTACAAAGACCTTCAGTCGCAGCGCTTCAGGCACAGCCAATTACCCCTGCCCTATTTAATGAATACTATCTGCCTGTTGAGTGTTGTGAGTGTTTGAAGTTTAATGTCATAAATCAAATATTGTGTATTGCAGAAAGGTCAGCATCGAAAGAGTAAGCAGTTTCCAGGACTTAACCTTGACTTCAGCATTTTTTTGATTTGACATGTGTTTTTGCTTTTCTCTGTTTTCTAGCATTCTTGTCTGCCGGACCAATTGGGAAAAAGACAAAACGAGATGGTAAACATGTGATTTTTTCCTTAGCACACTTGGCGACTCTAAGATCATGAAAGTCAACTTTTTTCCATTAAAGTACTTTCTGATTTAAGAGCAACATCCACATTTTTTCACTGCCCCTCACTTAGACTCAATGTCACATCAATACTCTTTTGAGTGGGAATATCTGTTGTGATATAGTAAAGAAATGACGTCTTCATTTGATGTCTACATAATAACTTTGGGGCCTGGAAAATCTTTCAACACACTTTGAAATTCACTTGAAAGTCCTTGATTGATGTCCAGCATCATTAGAGCCTTCCCTTTCTTTCTGCCTTCAGCTGGAGAAAGTATCCAGGAGGTGTCGGCTGCTGCAGAGTTACACAGGAAGCTGATCCGCAACCGCAGGAACATCAGCTGGTACAAAGAGAACTCTGACTACTGGGGCTGGTACAAGTACTTCACCGAAAATGGCAACCAGGAGGCTGTAAGTACAAACACATCCCAAACAAATTGATGTAAACTAGGGAGTCCACCCTAGTTTGAAACAAAAACTCTATATTCCAGTTAAAGATGTCTGTTTAAGGCAGATAGTTTCCCCATTCAGAGAAGTTACAATGCATTTTGATAATTAATGCATCTTTTTATATTTGAGCCAGATAACTAAAGATTGATAGGTGGAAGCATTCCTTCTGCATAATCCATGTCCACTCTTCATCTTAATAATAAATAAATAAACCAATAAACCACTCCCCCCCCCCTCAGGTTCAGGAGATGGACCGCATCTACCTGGCCTACCTCCAGAACAAGAACCGTGCTGAGGCACGTCGCTCCCACAAGGCGTACTTGCGCCACCTTGGAGACGTCTACAAGTCCTGCTCCGATTCTGATGACCCTAACTGCGTGTCTTCCTACACCAGTAGGCCTAAGCCAGAGGCCCCCAAACCTGCCCCTGTGAAAACCTGTGACCCCACCAAGGATGCTTACTGCCTGTATGCTGCTTTGGTCCAGGGCAAAAGCCCCTACCTGCCCCTGGTGCTCCCAGCTGCCCCAGCAGCAGCCCCAGCAGCAGCCCCAGCAGCAGCCCCTGCCCCAGTGAAGGCCCCCGCCCCAATGTATGTCCGCTCTGCTGCTCCAGCAAAGGACCCTCAGTCAGGGTATTACTACTACGCTCCATCCGCTGTGTCCTTCCTTACCAAGGTATGTTTTTCCAGACATTTTAGCTATTTTAATATATTAGTAAGTAATTAGTAGATTCAGCAATTTACCTGTGTTAAACCTGTACCAAAAAGATCCTACCTTAAAGGTCTCCTATCATGCAAAATTCACTTTTGTCTGTATTATATACGTAAATATGTGTCAGGGAACTCACAAAGTGTCAGAAAACAAAACCCTCTCTCTTTTCCTCCGTACCCAAATATCTAAAAACGGGGGTACAACGGAGCCGATCCAGATTTGCTGCAGAAATGAAGTAATATCGGATTTTGTTTTAAAGCTTTAGACCCAGAATCAGCACTTCTCTAACAGGGCTGAAACAGAGGGGTATGAGGCATGGCTAAAATGCGTGATCTGTTTGGTATTTTGTGCAATACACTTCATAGACATGTTTGTTATATTTTTATATATCTGAGACCTACAATATATGCCTAAAAATAGCATAATAGGAGACCTTTAAAGTGTGTACGATTTTGGACTTTGGTGCCCCTTGTGGTAGTTTGAATAAAGACGCAGCGACAATGTCCCTCCTTCATTAGCAGCTTCAGTGACACCTCGGCCTGTTTTTACATTATTTAGGAGCAGAAGGCCGAGCTGCTGCGTATCTGCTCCTCTGAGGACGTGGAGTGTCTGCAGTACCACCTGAGAGCGGCCCATGGGTATTCCCCCTCTGCCGGACCCGTGCCTTCCTACGCTCACCTGGGCTGTGACCCCAAGAAAGACCCCAACTGCAAACCCAAACTGGTGCAGAAAACCCCCTCTGGTCTCTACCTGCAGTATCCCAACTGTGACCCACGTGATCCCCGCTGTGCCCACGCTGCCTCCCTTGTGGTATGCTTCCTTTTATTATTGTGAAATACTTGTATTTATTTGATTTAATGTATTCTAGCCTATTATTGCCTTGATGATAATGACCAGGTTTTCCACTGTTTGTCCAGGCGCCACGTGCCCCTAACCCCCCTGCCCCTGCTGGCCCTGGATCCTGCAACCCTCTAGTTGAAGAAGGCTGCAACCCTCTTACCGCCACCAAATATGCCACTCCCCCTTCGTCATACAAAAAGGAGGAAGAAGAGGCTGCTGCCATTCGTGCTCCTGCTCCTGCTGTGCAGACCAACGATCCCTACGCCATGTTTAGGGATGCTTATGCTAGTGCTAGTGCTAGTGCTAGTGCTAATGCTAATGCTAATAGAGTCACTGATCCCTATGCTATGTACCGCCAGGCTAGCGCCCCGGTTTCTCGTCCAGCTTCTCCTGCAGCAAATGACCCATACGCCATGCTGCGCCGATTCATGACACACGCTCATGGTAACGACCCATACGCTCCACCTATGGAGGCTGCTCCACGCATGGAGGCCGCTCCACGCATGGAGGCCGCTCCAGGGTCCAACCCAAATGATCCTTTCGCTGCGATCCGTGAGGCAGCAGCTGCCATGCATCGCCGCGGCCCTCCCACCCAGAGGCAGCAGTTCCCATTTTCCAGTCCCACTTATGAGGAGCCTGCCCAGGAGGAGCACAGCCCTCTAGGCCCCCCAGGTAAAACCAAAGAGGGCCATGACTGCTTCATTGGATACGATCACGAATGCTTCCCAGTGAAGCCCACCGAGCCTCGTTCTGGAATTCACCGACGCATGCCCTACCCTGCCGAGCCCTACGAGCCCCACCTGAATGCCGACGGAACCAGAAACGGGGTCATGGAGCCCTCAAACCAAGACTGTGACCCTGAGTACGATCGTGACTGCCGCCTGCGCCGTTTTGAGCCCCAGCCCGAGGCCGAGCCGGAGCATCGCGTCGAGGAGGACCACAGCCAGGGGGCAGCAGAGAGTGAGCAGCAGCCGGAGCAGATGGAGCAGGAGCAGTACGAGGCGGAGCCCTACCAGAGCGGCCAGGAGGAGCCTCACATGTCCTACCAGCCCCTCTCACAGGGAATGCCCAGCCTCCAAGACATACTGAGGCGCTACGGAGACCAGTACTCCGGGCAGGATGATCACAGAGCCTATGGAGATGACTACCGCAAGAAATAAACATGCTCACACACACATGCATGCAGATGGACATGAATACACAGTAACCCATGCGTTAGCAATTTACAGCTTAATGCAGCACCCAGTCCTACATGGACCAGAAATGGGACACAAGAGAAGTTTATGGACCCAATGAGATGCACATATATAGCTTACAGCTGTAGGAGCATGCTCAGAAAGACGAGGTGTGTTCCAGCAATGTTTTCATCTCTTTATCTACTTTAAACCTGTTGCTTTGGCCAAGTGCTTTCAAGTTTCCGGCTCCACCTCTTTAAACCACCTCGAATGTGTAATGCCTTGTCAATGCTCAAATTTGCTTCTGTATCTATGCATCTCACTTTTTTTTCCTGTTGCTTTTTGTCAGTGATGTAAAGATTTTTCATTTTGAATGTTTTAATAAAAAGCTCTTGAAAGCCTTTTTTTTCCATTCACTGACTCCTGATATTTTATTCAACTTGATTGGCTTGACTCAATCGTGATAGACATCAGTAAAACATTCTAAATAAATATAAAAAAGTAAATATTGATATCATTTTACCAATCCAAGTTTGATAAGGTATATCACACATTAGTATGTGTGTAATAATCCAATGCCACCTAAATTACCCTTTTTTAAGCTCAATTAAAGGCTCCCTCTTTACATAGGGGAGAGTGGGGTAAGATGAGCCAGTGGGTAAGTTGACGCACCCCCTTTATCTAGGGAACTGTGCACATTTGTTGTCATGTGACTGATGGACTAGTATTTGTTAGAAAATGACTGATAGACTGGTAAAAGTAGATGGACAGAGAGACTGATGGACTGGTAAAAGTAGATTACAAATTGATGAACTGGTTATAGTGGAATTTAGACTGATAGACTGGTTAAAGTGGGCCAGAGAGACTGATGGACTGGTAATAGTGGGACAGAGACTGATGGACTGGTAATAGTGGGACAGAGACTGATGGACTCGCTAAAGTGAGTCACAGATTGATGGACTGGTAATAGTGGGACACAGCCGGTAGTCTGGTAATGGACTGGTTAAACGTGGGACACAGACTGTTTTACTGGTTAAAGTGGGACACAGACTGACCGAGTAATTATAGTGGGACATAAACCGATGGTGGTCAACACATTACATTGATATTGATAAACAATAAAACATACATGAAGCCAAGTAGGCTAAAGTAAAATAAAACGTTTCAGAAAGTACTGCTTCTATTCCATTATCTTAAATAAAGGTTGTGCCCCCTCCTTGATATGCACCTTTATATTTTTTGACAGTATAGATACTCCAAATAGTCAAACAAATGATAGTACTGAAATGAAGAATTCTGGGTAATGAGTGTTTATACTTTTGGTACTTGATACATATTTTGAGATCAATATTCTACTAAGAACACATTTCTACATTGTGTATTTGCCACTTTAACTGAGTTATCAGTTATCACATTATCTGAGTACTTGTTTATAGTCAGTGAGTTATTGATAAGTGAGGCTGCAGCATGAAATTGTATTATTGTTGATATCATACTGCCCCTCCTCCACTCTTGTACAACATGTAATGTGCTGGAGACTAAACCCATTTCCTTCTTGAATTTGACGGTTGTCTTGTTCAATTTGTGTAACCCTCTGAATTACCGTAAACTTGCTTGGACACAATTCCCACTGCAATTGAAGACATTATGTGTACATTATTGATGTATCCTTTCTGACTAACGGTTCTGGTTATTGTCTATGATCCTAGGCTTCCTCCTTTCTGACTTATATCTTCTTTTCTCTAAAGAAGATGTGTCTCAATCAAATTACCTTTCGGAAAATATCTGAAAATGCACGAGTGCAGTTTATCTTCAAAATGTAAAAAAGTGCCCACAGACAAACAAAAAGTACTGCTTGGTCTTTTTTTTCTTTTTTTACAACAGATTAGATTGATACAACTTTAATTCCACTGGATTTCTTCAGTTGCTGACACTGACAGAGAAAACTATTACATATGTTAAAACATGATTGACCTAAGGTTACTCACTGTTTTATTCTAGTGTCCCAAGTATTATGTCTGTCCAAGTAAATGTGCCAATCTTTTGTGACCTTAAACGATCAAATTAATCCATTAAAGGAGAGGTGTCATGGCCATTTCCACTGATCATAATTCCATTGTTGAGGTATACTAAAATAGATTTATACTGTGCATTTTTCCAAACTCACATTGGTTTCTCATACAGCATCTCTGTAAACTACTTGTATTCACTGAATTTCACTCTCTGCCTTTAACGGCTCGTTGTAGCTCCCAAAGCTCCAGCCCCCGCCCTCCCTGTGAGCACAGTGTGCTCTGATTGGTCGGGACGTTGTGAATCGCGCTGAGCTCCGTGGAGGTGTTGTTTCCTTGTTTAGGATACATAGCGAAACACAGCCAAACTCATCCTGAGCACACACAAACTCACATCCGAAGTAAAAACAATAAGTGTGGCTTGATATTGAGTAAGAAAAAGGTTAATAAACGCTGTGAGAATGGGTCTGCAGAGAGAATTTTGCCGCGATCCCAACTGTCTGTTATCAGCCTGCAGCCAGGGAGGAGAAATCAGCTGAGCTGCCTGCTCCCTGCACACAGATGTGTGTGTGAGGAAGTCCGTGGATTGGTCAATTTGGACTAATCAGCGGGGGCTTAACGTAACGGCTCCGCGGACGTAACGTAACGGCTCCACGGATTGGTCCATTTCGTTCCGGGTACGGCTTGACATCATGCCGTCCCGGAAGAATCAAATGGACAATGACGTATCTCCAACGAGGCGTTTTGGGGAGGTATTTTCTGTGTTAGAGTTTTACTCGCCATAGGGGTGTACTTTGAGGGTTTTGACTCTGCACACCGTTTACATGCATAAAAACCTTCATAACACACAAGGGGACGGGTAATAACCGGAAAAGCATGACACCTCTCCTTTAACTTGTTAGCAATTTGTAATTCTAAAATACATTAACACCACTAACCAGGCTTGTCAGATGGAAAACTGTGTGATACTATGCAAAGTTTCTGCAAGATGCTTTTCCTATATCCTTTTTCATTTATGTATAAAGTATTTCACAGCATCTAGTTCTGCTTAACTGTTATAATGACACAGTAAGTGCCAATCCAAACCAACAAGTGTGGATGGGGTGTGGGTTATCAAGCCATCCAACAACGAGCCTGCATCAGTCCTGTGTTGCGGTCGAATTGTCCAAAAATCCGCTCCTGCGGCCGCAAGGTATTGTCTGAAAGCATGTTCTCTTTTCCTTTCGTAAAGGTTAGTCCAGTGTTTCCTAAACTAAAGGAGATTTAAAGGAAGTTTTGAAGTTCCTTTCCTATCATAGAGAATTGGAAGAGCTATCATCATGGCTGCCACTGAGGTACTTCCGGGTCATTTCACTCCGTTAGAAACCTTCCTAAGCTTAACGGCCCGTCCACACAGCAGCGTGCGTTGAAAGCTTCACCATTCACTTGAATGGGGTGACGTCACTTTTCGCCGAACTGCATTGTGGGAAGCGAAACGGAGCTTTGCTGGCGTGGCTCGCTGCAAAAGTTGAGCAATGTTCAACTTTTGAAGCCTCGGCAGAAGCGTCAGCCAATCAAATCATATGCCAGTACAAGCTCTAGCCAATCAAACCGCTGCTTGTGTGTCAGGGGCGGGAGATTCATGTGATTGGTTGTTGGTCGAGTTTCAGCCCCCCCCCCCGCTGGCAAGCTTCAACGCACGCCGCTGTGTGGACGGGCCGTAACTGACAATTCCCGTGTCTAGTCTAGAAAACGCTAAACGTGTGAATTTGATCATAACGTTTTGTATACAGTGACTGTAGCATAAACCAAGCAGCTTATACACATCAGATTTATTATTTTTTAGTCTAAGACATGCCGATTTGAAACGGTTGTTATGTAAAGTTACGGAGTTTCCTGTTTCTGCCGGAGAGTTGGGAGTTGGTCCCAAAGCTTGCCGCTGTATTTACACTCTCCACCTGAAAGAAGGGAGCCTCGTTCAGCTGTGAGTGTGACTATAGAGTTTCTCTCTAACGGAGTGGGTATGGGGCAGTTTGGAATTGGGCCAACATTTCAGAGACCTTAAATCTAAAGTCCCAAATAGCAGATAGACAAGAGGTTAACCTGGGCCAAAGAAAAAATGAGATACCAATCTTCCCAAGAAGAAGCAGCAATCTGTGATTTAGGTCGACCCAAAATTCCATCAAATAGACCAAATGTATGAAAGGTTGGGATCAGTGGTGGTCTGGCCATCTGGCATATTGACCTTTTCCCAGTGGAGAGACGTGCCTTTTGGGCCAACACAACTGTCTTTGTTTGTTGATTGTCTGATTGTCAGAGAGATAAGATAGCTCTTATTTCACACCTGACTGGCCTAAACACATCTTTTAACCTCGCCCACTTTTGAACTCATTAAACAGCACATCTGTAACAAAATGCCAAAATAGATAAGACAAAACCCAAGGGAGACGGCACAGAGTAATAGCTTGTAGAAAACAGACAGGCCCTCCAGGCAGAATGACCTTTTGCATCTGAGGCTAAAGCCTTTTAGCCACTTGCTGCTCAGAAAAAACGTAGTCACTTGTCATCTTGCTTAATGCAAACAGGCAAGTGTGAGATACTATGGTTAAGGGCGTTGGCATCGACAGGTCATTTTGCTGAAAGGTAAGCTAAGTTTGGACAAAAAGCTTGGTATGGGTTAATGCCATATGCCATCCTAATTAAAATGTTGACATAGAGATATAGGTGGTGAGGAAATAACTAGAGTATAAAGGAAAACATTGCATGACAAAAGAAAAGCACCATCTTTAACAGCTGTATTTGGAAACTCCTGCCCAACAAAAGAAAAAAGAAAATCAAAAAGAAGACAGCATGACACCAACTCCATCCATTTTGTGTGATAGACAAAAAAGATTGTCACTCTAAATACATCTGAGCCAGTCTACCTCCAGCTGCTGACAAAGTCATACCCCCTGCACGGCTAGGAACACACACACACACACACACACACACACACACACACACACACACACACACACACACACACACACACACACACACACACACACACACACACACACACACACACACACACACACACACACACACACACACACACACACACGGCAAATCAGGACCCCCTCTTGTGGCTACAGATGTAAAAAAGATTACAACATCTGTGTTTGTAATACCACCCTAATAATCTTAATTTACCTCACTTTTTTGCTCACTAAATGTATTTTTTGAATACTGGGTTGTATTTGATATTTAATAAGATTACACCAGAAACATTTTCATGATTATCAACATTCTGATCATCTAACTCTAATCCCATCCATTATTCATTCTATTGTTCGTTGATATCTGGCAGGAAGCTGGC